CAGACATCCTAAACCTCAAACCCTACCACTATTCTCGTAGCTTGTCTTAGCTTGTTTTATAGTACCGTCCATCACTTGGGACTTGCCGAAAATAAGGGGTACCTTATTTGGGGTCCTCATGATAAGGATCCTACTATTTAGGGTACTATGTTAGGGTCCCCCATTTTCGGAAACCCCCACTTATGAATCTTGAACACAATACCCCCTAACCCCCTAAGCCCGAAGCCGCTCCGGGCGCCGCCTAAAGTTCGCCAAGCCGCTGCTTTTGGCGGATGTCGTTCTTCAGGCGAGCTTCCTCAGCGACGCACCGAGCTGGGTGGAGGCGCTCGGTTCTTAGAGGGTTTAGGATCTAGGGGTTTAGGGTTTAAGGTTTAGGATTTAGGGGAAGCATGATTTAGGGTCTAGGGTTTAGGGTTTAGGGCCTTAGTTGCGGAATGGGCCGTACATGATTCATCTGGGCATCGCCGTTTTAGGGATGTCAGGGGTTTTTAGGGTCTCGGATTTGTTCATGGAGCACTGGGGCCCGCGAACCCTCACTCAAGGGCACAAGTTTCCCTAGGGCTACGTTGAACCCGAAATGGGCTGAGATTTCAGATTCCGGGGGAACCGGACTGAGCGCTGTGCGTAGTGAGGAGACATGGACACTTTGACAAATCTCGGTGGAGAACCTGACCCCTGAGCCCCAAACCCAGTCCCACAGGCCCACATCTGCAAGAAGCCCTGAGACTGTCCTGCTCATGCAGAAAAGCTCTGAAGCCTCAGTGCTCTGTCCAGACTTAGTACGACAGGCATGATAGGCTGTCAGCTTCAATACTGTCGGGATTTTTCGGGCTTGAGCATCCTTGAAGCCATCTGCCGGTGGGCATCGGACAGCATGCACAAGGCATCTATGAGGCCAGACTCGCCTGGGACTTTCACAGTTTCTGGGGGCTCGATCCCAGGCGTCCCCTCCCCCAACTGCCCCCAGAACCAACCTGGAGCAAGCGACACCAGCTTTTAGCCGCTTGACCTTTGCTGATCTCTGCTACGCATCCCTGCGCAAAGCTGCGCAGACATGCGCTGCTCTGAACTCTGCCGAAGCCAGGTTAGCAGCTACTTGCAAAGTCTGAACAGCGACTGTGCCTGCCATGGAAAAGCTACTTAGGCCGCTGCACTTCAAAAAATCTCTGACATCCGCGCGGCCGTACCACAGCCAAGATGTTGGGCAACGGCTCCGAGGCGCACCCTTGCACCTCATGTGCGGCGAAGACCCGCGAGCAAGGGATCACTGGCTGCGCGATCATCGATCATACCGAGCAGAACACGCCTCGTTCCTTGAGGCGAAAGCTGCCACACTGCATTGCGTTCAAGTTGGTAGGAGCGCTTTCTCAAACGAGCAAGCTTGCTGGCAAAGGCAGGGTCTGCAAGGAGCTCCTGCTCATTGAGCTTCTTGAATTCCGCCACAGGATGCTGCGCTGGTCGACTGACAGTGTCTGTGACCAACCTGACAGCGAAATTTGGGCCTAGCGAGATATGCCAACTTCTGTTCCGTGCACTGTGCCTGCCACCATGACGAGTTGGCACCTTCTACCTGTGACTCTGACAACTGCCTTTCCGCCCGAAAGAATTCTGCGAGCAGGACCATTTGCTCCTCCTCTGTGTGAGCATTCCAATCGGAAGCTGTCTTGCCGCAACCTGGCAGCCAGCAGCTCAGAAAGTCAATCCGTTCGGTAGAGCTCAGGCCATTCCATCTGGCCACGCTACCACGGATATCCTCCAGACTTGTCGCCATCGTCGAAGACTTGGACTGAGCAATAAGGCAATAACTCTAAGTTCTCGTGTCGACCCTTCTGAGCTCGAGCCCAAACTGTCTGCCTGGACTGACTCACGGCCAATGCTCCTCCCGTCATTCGTATTTGTACTCGCAGAGGTTTCTCGAATCAGGAATGCGACGTGCCTTGAGACCTTTTAAAGACCTCTACCCGCGTCCAAGCTTCGGTGTCGGCCACGTTCCGCTCGAGGTCGCTGCGCACCACGGCGACCTGCAGCGGGGCTTTCGTGTGCTTTCTGGTTTGTGGGACACTAAGCATCCCGAAAAGGCCGGAAAGGTTTAGGGTCTAGGGTTGCAGACGTTGATGTCTGGCCCTAAACCCTAAACTATGTGTCCTTTCTGCCCTTGAAGCCGAAGGGAAACAATACGAGAGCAGACAGCCTGAGCCTCATGGAAGCCCCAAAGGCCCAGAGCATCATCACACCCTGAGCCCGAAGCCCTCAAAGCGCCCTAAACCCTAAACCCTCAAAGCGCCCTAAACCCTAAACCC